ATATTGTGCTGACACACAGTCTCGACATTCCGGGGAACAGTAGTTCACACGAGTTCTCTGTGATGGCTGTCCACAGAATGGCACCGAAAGCAAGGATTTTATGTTATTATGTGAGAGAAGACAACGAGGAAGTGGTGGCCGACGCCATGGACTTCGAAGTGGACGGACTGTTCAGAACTGACGTGTCGATCGACACCGACCTTAAGGAGGCAGAGCCGGGAGCACAGGTAGCTGTGAGAGTGAATACAAAGCCGGACGCGTGGGTGGGTATAGTAGGTGTCGATCAGAGCGTACTTTTGGTGAAATCAGGTAATGATATGACGCGCGAAGCCGTGATCCAAGAGTTACAGACATTCGACACAACATTTACAACACAATGGGATGGCTACACATCCACTGCACAAAAACTATTCAATTTTTCGGGTGTTGTGGTCATATCTAATGGTCTCGTTTATAAACACGATAAAGACTATGGTGAGTTTAGTCCTAGTTTATAATTATAAAATGTAAAAGTCTATAATTGAGATTGTGTAAAAATTTTATTGTATTTTAGTCTTAAAATCTAGATCACTGTTACCCAAATTCAATGAGTTGAGAATGATGGCCGTAGAAATAGTCAGCAAGGTAGAATCAAAATCAGCACAGTTAGATCGCATACCCCAACCCCGCATCCCAAGACCGCATCCCCAGTGCATGCAAACCAATATGACCACTATTGTTAAAACTAGAAAACATTTTCCCGAAACTTGGTTATGGACCTCAATGCAAACAGGGTACTTTCGCATAAATTTTTATGAAATCAAACTACTATATTATTAACTAATTATAAACTTGATTAAGTAATTATACTTAACTTATAATAAATTGAATTCTTTAGGAGTAATGGTTGCGCTGTTATTAAGAGCACAATCCCCGACACAATCACCTCGTGGTTCATCAGCGCATTCGCTATGCATATGGAGACTGGTCTGGGCATTGCACCCACACCTACGAAGGTATGGTATTAGGGTTACCTAAAAAAAGTCATATGTAAAATGATTAAACCTGATTTTGCAAATCTTAGGTCACAGTTTTCCGACCGTTTTTCATCAAACTATCGCTGCCTTACTCTATAATAAGAGGCGAAACGGTAGCCATTGAGGCCATTGTCTTCAATTACACCACAAAATCAATTGAATCGGAAGTAGTATTTGATAACAAGAAGCAAGAGTTTGAGTTTAGCGACCAATTGGACATAAAAGGTGTAAATGTCTCTGAAATGAGACAATTGGTGTCAATTCCTGCCAACGATGGCGTTTCGGTCACATTCACGATAACACCGAAAACTATGGGTTATATTGACATCAAACTGACGGCTACCTCAGCCATGGCTGGAGACTCTGTGCTCAAGAAACTACTGGTGAAACCCGAGGGTCAGACACAACACTTTAATCAATCAGTTCTCGTGGATCTGAAAGAATCGGCGAATGTATTGACGAAAAATGTCTCAATAGTTATCCCAAAGATAGCGGTTCCCGGCTCTCAGAAAGTATGGGTGACAGCCATTGGGGATATAATGGGACCCATTGTTTATAATTTGGATATGGGTTATATTGACATCAAACTGACGGCTAACTCAGCCATGGCTGGAGACTCTGTGCTCAAGAAACTACTGGTGAAACCCGAGGGTCAGACACAACACTTTAATCAATCAGTTCTCGTGGATCTGAAAGAATTGTCGAATGTATTGACGAAAAATGTCTCAATAGTTATCCCAAAGATAGCGGTTCCCGGCTCTCAGAAAGTATGGGTGACAGCCATTGGGGATATAATGGGACCCATTGTTCATAATTTGGATGATTTACTGCAAATGCCGTATGGATGTGGCGAACAGAATATGATGTAAAGAATATTCTTTAATATATTTTTCGCACATATATTAAAATTTTGTTTAT